TCATTGTTGCAACAATTACGAGATTTATAAAAGATATTTCCATTCGGATGTTAACATAGAAACGGTAATTATTCGATGTTTTGATACTATTTATTATATGACTGTACATTTCATGTTGCATTCTTCAAATCCGTATACAATGGTAAATTGAAAAAAAATATGTTTTTTTTTGCAAGTTTGGAATTTCTTAACTGATTATCACTGAACCACAAAACTATCCACATAGTAACATATTTTGCATGTCGATGTCACAATTGTCATAATGTATTAATGTATCGTTTTCCCTCACCTATATCACTTTGAATATATAAAATAACACACTCCTATGTAAATGCTATTGCATCAAATTTAAACGCTAATCTAGGTGGAAGCTTTTATGGGACAAGGTTGTGACTTCCTTTCCACATGCAAATGTTTTATTAAATTTAACAAGCAAGTTAATCGTGTATACATGTAATAGCCAAATAGGAAAACAATTACAAATTTGAACATATAGGTCAGATTGTACATACTTATATTCGCTACGGAACAAAAGATAGTATTTACTGTTGTTATATCCAGTTATAAAAGGGCAGATGTAAACGAACATGATCAGTATTGTAAGGACCACCATACACATTAATTAAACTAGTCATATAAAAAAATCATTGAAAATGATACGCCTCGTTTCATTTTAAAGAATTGTTTCAAGTTGGGAAGATTCATGTATTCATGACACATTACGAATCATTGCGGATATTATAGGGCTACAACAACAGTACCTTAGAGTGGAACAATACACACCGGTCCTGCCGGACTGGCACATAATATTCTTTGACATATTATTGTATCTTAATTTATGAAAATATGAGGGAAAATGTAGGGAAAAACTATATCTGCACAGCATTATTCAGAAAATTTGAAAAGTATACCTGTGATGTGATGAAAGGAGAAACATGCTGTACTTGACTAACTTCAGCTGAACGTTTTCATATATTTCAGATATATAAAGAGGATATGTAACAGTGTCTTCAGTAATTCCAAACATATTTTATGAGTGTGGCTAATACTTTAATATCTTTCACGAATGCGCAGCGAAATATAGTCCTCTCTGTAAAAACATTAATAAAATTCAAATTATTATCATTATTTCATTATTCAGAAAAAGTCCCGTCATATCAACACAGATCACTACGCATTGTTGATAAGCGCCAAATCCTCAACGGTGGGGACTGGGGAAAATGCAGTTATTTTTCAACACTGATCTTGATGATAACATACCAACACCACCTAACAGTTATGTAAGTTATACTTATAACCCTGGTTCTTTTAAACTTCCTGTCAATCGCTCATCCTCTCTCGGGACTTGGAGACGTTGACACTGTGTTTCATTTCTCCGAATAATTGATGACCTGCATAGTCTGCTGGCTTTCATGAAAAGTTAACTGTGGAATTAAACGTTATGTTTCCCCCTAGAGAATAATTCACTCTTGATAGGTAAAAGATGATTATTCTGCGCAGTAGAATGGGCTGATGTCTTAGGCGGATTTGCCCGAGGTCTGCGTATCGTCAAGCTAACCAGGCTTTTACCAGGTGTAATTTCTCCCCAGGTAGTCTGTTATCGGTGTTTTGATTGGTCAAATCAGCAAAAGTGATATTAAAGTCGAACGATGCTAAAGCCAATATCGAACAATACTTTTTAACACATCCATTATTAAATCAAACTAATAATCGACTCAATTTATGTTTAGTCAACAGATTTGAATTGAAAACGACAAGCTTTGTTTCAAAATCATCAGGTTTTACCAAAGATAAAGTGTTCATAATTCCTTGAGCATACCTTATTATTTAGTTGGGCTAAATAAAAACCAAAAGTCATTTTAATTATCGGATATTTTGTTACTTTTCATCTTCCTGTGTACAGTTTGTATAAAACTTAGGAAAAACGCACATTTAGAGATTGTGAATACTAGATATTTAGATTTTTTTCTTTAATATAATGGGATTTCATAATACTTACTGTCACGAAATCATCGTAAAAGTGAGAAGTTTGCTTCTTAACAACTTCTGAAGTTTGCAAGTGTCATAAAATGTTGTATTTTTTCGTATCCCCTAACCTATGTCACTTTGAATATTAACTCATCTCTATATGAACTATAATATAATGTAAATATGATTGACGATTTTTCCAATATCATTGATATGATTGTTTTCCTTCCAACCACTTATCAAGATGAATGCTTATGATGTGGATAAGATATGAATGATGTAACCGTTTTCAATAATTTCAATATGTTAGTAAAGTGTGTATGGTTGTTAAACGAAATTCTATGTACTTCTTTGTAGACGTCAGGTAGTTAACACAAACATTTGGAATAAAAAAGCTAAGTTGTCACTTACCTTCTGTAGTTAGATCGGGTCATAGCCAGGCAGATATGAAAAACAACAGACAAAAACTCATCATTACCTGATTCATCACCTTAGGTATTGTTTAACGCTCCAATATATCAAACAAAACCTTTAACAATCCATGTTTTAATCAAACTAATAATCGAGTCAATGTTACTGTATTCAATAGAGTTTTAATTGAAAACGACAAACCTTGTTTCAGTATAATCAGGTGTTATCAAAGATAAAGGGTTCATAATTTCTTGAGCATACCTTATTATTTAGTTTTACTAAATCAAAACTAAGAATCATTTTAATTATTAGATATTTTGTTAACTTTTATCTTCCTGTGTACATTTTGTATTAAGCTGAGAAAAACGCACAATTAGATATTATGGTTACTAGATATTTAGATTTTCTTTAATATAATGGGATTTCACAATACTTACTGTCACGGAATCATCGTAAAAGTGAGAAGTTTACTTCTTCACAACTTCTGTAGTTTTCAAGTTTCATAAAATGTAATGTTGTATTTTTTCGTATCCTTTAACCTAAGTCACTTTGAATATCAACTCATCTCTACATGAACTATAATATAATGTAAATATGATTGACGATTTCTCCAATATCGAATCACGATGAATGCTAATGACGTGGACAAATTATGAATGATGTAACCGTTTTCAGTAATTTCGATATGTAAGCAAGTTGTTTATGGTTGCCAAACGAAATTCTATGTACTTCTTTCAACTAAGAGGGCGTCAGGTAGTTAACACAAACGTTTGGAATACAAAAGCAAAGTCGTTACTTACATGCTGTAGTTAGATCGGGTCATAGCCAGGCAGATATGAAACACAACAGACAAAAACTCATCATTACCTGATTAATCACCTTAGGTATTGTTTAACGCTCCAATATCAAACAAAATCTTTAACACCAATTGTTGAGTCAAACTAATGTAAGTTTAATCAATAGAGTTTTAATAGAAACCGACAATCATTGTTAAATGTAATCAGGTTTTATCAAAGATAAAGGATTCATAATTCCTTGAGCATACCGTATCATTTGTTGGACCAAATAAAACCTAAGTCATTTTTATGATTGGACATTTTGTTACTTTTCAACTCATTGTGTACCTGTTGAATTAGTATTTATCTTACAAATGGACTAACACATAGAGATTGTGGAAACTAAGTGATACATTTATTGTTTGATATAATGGGATATCATAAAACTCACTGATAAGAATTCATCGCAATAGAAAACATTTCACTTCACATTTTTTGAAGTCTGTAAGCGTCATAAAATGTTGATATGTAGCATTTCTCGTCGTCTCCCCTAGCTTATGACACTTTCAATATAAACTCACTTCTATATGAAATGAATGTAATACAATGTGTATATGTTTGTTTTCCTTCCAACCACTTATCAAGATGAATGCTTATGATGTGGATAAGATATGAATGATGTAACCGTTTTCAATAATTTCAATATGTTAGTAAAGTGTGTATGGTTGTTAAACGAAATTATATGTACTTCTTTCAACTAAGAGGACATCAGGTAGTTAACACAAACATTTAGAATAAAATGCAAAGTTGTTACTTTCATTCTGTAGTTAGATCCAGTCATAGCCAGGCAGATATGAAACACGGCAGACCAAAACTCATCATTACCTGATTAATCACCTTAGGTATTGTTTAACGCTCCAATATCAAACAAACCCTTTTACACATCCATGTTTTAATCAAACTAATAATCGAGTCAATGTTACTTTATTCAATAGAGTTTTAATTGAAAACGACAAGCCTTGTTTCAGTATAATCAGGTGTTATCAAAGATAAAGGGTTCATAATTCCTTGAGCCTACCTTATTATTTAGTTGTACTAGACACTACACACCCCACTGGGATAAAACATGCTAATCATATTAGTTCAGTCGTACATTTCAGCTTAAATTCGTTAGTTTATATTGCAAATAAGGACATACTGATGCTGTAATATATTCTTTTATATTAATATCCAAACATTGATATACATGTATCATTAGTTCTGCTGATACCTTTCGTTTTTGAGGTTATCTAACGGTTGTTACCAATAACAGTGATATACCAACTGTTATTACCTTTTGGGAAGAAGAATGTAACACACACAAAGATAATTACACCTTTAAAATTAAGTATTAGATTCAGTATGCCAAAAATAAACTACACTGCATCATAAGTTTGCAATAACAGTGAAAATGAAAATAAATGTAATATTTCTTTTATATTTTGAGGATTTGTTACTACCTATCTGTGTGCGTTTTGTTTTATTTACTAAACCTGTATACATTTTAGAGATACGGCGTCACGAGTTTATTCTTGAATACTGTGAAATATCGTTGAACTGCCGTAAAAGCATTGAAATATAGAAATTTCACTTCAGCATATCGTATTTACTTTGCAATATAATGTAATGTGTAATATTAATCTGTTCCAAACGCTAATATAAATTGATGTTTATAATATAACATACTGTGAATGATGTCTCTGTTTCGTATGAAATGTTTGAAGTAGTCACTTATGTGTAGTTGCCCAATAAAATTTAAACAGGTGGAGCAGGAGGTAAACACGAACATTCGTAAAGTTATTACTTACGTTGTGTTGTTCTATCCAGTCGTACCCGTTCTGATATAATAAAAAGCGACAACAAAAAATAATTAACATCACATGACACATAACCGTTGTCATGACTTTCAAAATATTATTAAACATTGTTTCAACACATCAATACTCTCACCAAACTAATAAATGGGGACATATAGGTTTTAATAATGACTCCCCATTGGATACGACAAACTTTGTTTCAATATAATCATGTTTAACGAACACAACATTATAGATACATAATTCATAGAGCATTACGACTCATTGTAGATGTTATTTTGCTGGGCAAGGTAGGTCCAAAACATTTTATAAGAAAGAACAACTCGCACAAGAAGCATATAATAGTACAGTATTTAATGTGCACCAAATAGACCTTAAGGCGTTTTTTCACTTCTGAAAAGAGAAAGCTAATTTTTCATTGTCATTGTAGGGAAGACACACATGTGATGACACCAATAAAATTTGGTTTTATTTACAGTACACGAAAAAGTCATGAAATCACTTCAAGCAATGTTATAGGGACATTAGAACTATAGAAATATCCCTAGCTTACATGTAATTGAGCATGTTAATCTTATTAATTTGTTAATGTCCAACATTATCGTGCTTTCTTGCTGTTGAATATAAAATTAATGCCGTTGTTAAGAGGAATACTAATGAATTTATTCCACATACACCTTATAATTTGGACATCGATCACTCCTGTAAAGATTTGTTGAACAGTACTACAGCTAACAGCAAAACAAACAAGGGAGGACTTACTCCTATCTCCTCCTGAACCCGACGCCATTCTCAACGTTATCAAAACTAGTCTTTCCTGAAGTAAGTCAGCTCAACTTCTGAAAAAAGGAGAAAATATGATAACGTAGTAATAAAACCATAATCATGGTAATGAATCATTTCATTTTTAGCTATCTGAGGACGGAGTCCCAGAAAGCTAATGCGATCAGACGTGTTTTTTGGGTGGTCTCCGAGCTAGGAAACACGAAAGCGGCTACAATATAAAATAATGATATTGTAGTATACTGAGATTGAAGCGTATTTACTTCAGATGTTCAATTGACCATTTTTAGCTGTTGAAATGGATTTGTGTAATTTGAGTGAATTTAATTCGTAGGTGTTCAGAGACCAGTGTTGCTAAATTTAGAGCATACATGCTTTCCACACTCTTTGGACATAAAGTCTGAACCTCCACACATAAATTGATAAGAAACGTTGTTAGCCGACGAGGACATATCAGTTTTACACACGCAGCCAGCAAAACCGTACGTGTTTGTTTTTTAAGTTAGGACATTCAGCAGACAAGTATTGTGGATTGCGAACTCGTCATAGGTCCGTCAAAATGAGTGGACACACAATGAAATAAATGATGGCATATATATTTACAATCAACTGTCATAAGATGCGAAAGCGTATTTGGACCACGGGACCTGATCATTTGTTACAGCTATATTTTGACCTAAACTAAGGGAACCTGATCATTTGTTACAGCTATATTTGGACCTAAACTAAGGTGTTTGGAGTAATATTACACGTTTGGGGGGTTTAGAACGGTAAAAATGCCCGCATATTTAAACATATAGATCGATTCATGTGGCATGTAAAAGCCTTGAATTGGTGACAAGATTCCGTACTTTTTTCCCGGTATCAAACGAATCAAAATTACGATTAGTTGGAGTAATTAACATTTTCGTTTTTAGTGGTTTCTTGATACAGTGGCAATTATAAATTCAAACTGTATGTACCAAAATATCAGTTCACAGTTAGATAACGACGTCAAAGAATTGAATTTATTTTAATTCATAAAACATATGTTTGTGTTTGCTATTATCCGGATTTAAACCAGATCGATGTATCAATATCAGTTATATTCTGTACGAAGCATGCATGTTTCAGAGAGCTACATGGTCATTGGCCTCCTGTTAAGTATACTATCAAATACAGATATAAAACTACCAACATTTGATGAACAGATAAAGACACAAATTTATAAAATGATGAAGTTTGCAGATCAGTAAAGGATGAAAGAAAGGAAGGTGAACATAAGAGTGAAAACCTTTTGATTATACCTTACACCTTAGTTACACTTTACACCTTTTTGGTTGTTGTGTAGATGTTACATTTGTATAGCAAATGATTGGAGAAAGTATAGGGACAGTCCCCACAGCAAATACTGGTAGTATATTTGTATCAAAATGTTCAGCTTCGGCAGTGGTATAATGTTGCTCTAGGTTAAGGATCTCAAATGTCCCTATGTTATGACATAGAAAACAAGTTGTTCAGACCACAACAGAGTTCTAGGCCTCCGGGATGGCCGAAACCAACGGTTAAAACCAATCATATAATGATCGTGTTTGTCTCTTTACACTCAGTAATGGTAGATATAGTTATTAGAATGAGCGTATCAAACTGTTTTAAAGTTGAAATTCGAGATCCGAGACATAAAGGGTGTGGCCAGATCTTAGGGTCGATTCTGATATCGTGATTGTGTGTATCTCTTTATGCTAAGCAATCTTACATATTGTTATGAGGTAGGGAGCTAAACAGTTTGAAAGTTTCGACCTAGGGACTAAGTGTTCATGGATAATCCCAGACCCTGGCAATTCCATTTGATATATATGAATGAAAAAGCGTACCAGTAAAATATGTTATACACTTTGTATAAATCATATGAATGTAAAATAACGTACTAGTACAATGTGGTGAACATTTTGTATGATTCCTATTAATGTAAAATAACATCTTAGTACAATTGTGTGAACACTTTGTATAAGTCATGCGAATGTAAAATAGCGTACGGGTACAATATGGTATACACTTTGTATCATTCATGTAAATACAAATGATGTACGGGTACATTGTGGTGAACACTTTGTATAATTCATGTGAATGCAAAATGACATCTGCATACAATGTGGTGTGCACTTTTATAATGCATGCGAGTGTAAAATGACGTAATTGTACAGCGTGGTGAACACTTTGTATAATTCCTGTGATTGTTAAATACGTGTTGGTACAGTGTGGTGAACACTTTTATATGAAACTACTGTATGTATTATAATTGATCGGAACGCATGATACATGTACTTGTATTATTTTTTGTTAGGATTATGTTAGATTCTGTCGTAATTTTGATTTCTTGTTTTGTCCAATTTTCCCGTAATGATGCTGTGGGCAGTAGGTTTTATTTTCGATTACATTTTATCCAGTGAAATATATTCATTCTATGAAAGTGACATTTTTGACTATCACTTTAGTTGATTTGACCAATCAAAACCAATGACTACAAACGACAATTGTACCACGAGACACATTACAAGTTGCCCATCTGGGACATCAGCCCATTCTGCTGCCTATAATAATCATCTGCTTCTTATTATGAATAAATTATTCTCTGTTGGAGACACAAAGTTTAATTTCACGGTAAGCTTTCATTTTCATAAAAGCCAGCAGACTATGCAGGTCAGCAATTCTAACTATTTGATCGAAGAAAACTCAAGCTTTTCGGCAAATGTTGTAGCATCAGTGACAAGCACGTATTCATGAACACCTTATAATTGGGACATCGATCACTGCTGTAAAGATTTATTGTAGTGTACTACAGTTAACAGCAAAACAAACGAGGAAAACAGGAGAGTACTTACTCTTGTCTCCTCCAGAACCCGACGCCATTCTCAACGTTATTAAACTCTAGTCTTTCCTGCGGTAAGTCAGCTCATCATCTGGAAAAAACGCAGCAATAAAATCATAATCATGTTAATGAATCATTTCATTTTCATAAGGTATACTATTAAATTTAGATATTAGAAAATCAACATTTAATAATCAGAAAAGCCACATGTCAATAGATCGATGTACCAATATCAAATATTATGTACGACGCATGCATATTTACGAGAGCTACGTGGCCATTGGCCTCTTGCTAAGTATACTATCAAATATAGATATGAAAATACGAACATTTGATGAACAGAAAAAAGACAGTTTTTAGAATGATGAAGTATGCAGATCAGTAAAGGATGAAAGAAAGGAAGGTGGACATAAGATTGAAGACTGATATACGTAATATTTTTTGTATACAAATTTTCATCTTCACCTGTGGTAATATGTTGCTCTAGGTAAGGGATCTCAAATGTTCCAAAGTTATGACCCAGGAACTAAGTGGCTAATGCCAGAATAGAACCCTAGGCTTTGGTTTGGTTTGGTTTAATTTTGTTTAACGTCCTATTAACAGCTAAGGTCATTTGAGGACGTGCCTCAATGTGTTTTAGTGTATGCGTGCCTGCGTGTGTGTATGCAGGAGACAGGGTATTTTGTTGTGCTTGCCTCCTTTATAGTGCTATCTCACTGAAATACCATGCCGAAGGCACGCAGCAAAACATTCCGCCCGGTCACATTATACTGACAACGGGTGAACCAGTTGTTGCCATTCCCCTAAATGCTGACCGTTAAGCAGGGAATAACAACTACCATTTTTAAGGACTTTGGTATGTCCCGGCCTGAGTACAGAGCCCATTGCCTTCCTCATCTGGGCAAACGCTCAACATTAAACCAAAAGTAAGGTGTTGCCAAGCAAGGCGCTAGGAAATAAAAGGTAGTTAGAAGTAGAAAGAAAGATAAACATCCCAAATATTGCAATGGGTGCAGCAGATTTATTGTGGTCGCGTTTGTGTATAGAGGACACCAAAGCAATTCCCCAATTCTTCAGGGGGCTACCGCATTAGTCGCCTCCTACGATAGGGGTGGAGCCCTAGGCCTCCAGGATGGCCAAAACCAACGGTTAATACCAATATCATGATTGTGTTTGTCTCTTTTTACTCAGTTATTGTAGAAATGGTTATAGAATGGGCATGTATCATACTTGTATCAAGTTGTAATCCAAAAGTCTGAGACATAAAGGGTGTGGCCAGATCTTAGGGTCGATTCTGATATCGTGATTTTGTGTATCTCTTCATGCATTGCAACCTTATATAAAGTTGTTATGAGATGGGGAGCTCAACAGTTTGAATGTTTCGACCTAGGGACTAAGTCTTCATAGATAGTGCCAGACCCTGGCAATTCCATATGTAACATAAATGTGTCATGATAGACAAACCTAACCCCATGTGCTCCTGTTAGTCCTTGGATATTTATGTGTAAATACAAACATATATTTGTATACAGTAAAATACATATTTTATTGTGTGTAAAATAACTAATCGAAACAATAAGACTACATGTAACACTTACGAACGATACCTGTATATGTTTTATTTTTTTTTAGGAATATGTTAGGTTCTGTCGTTTTAGAGAAAACTCATGTTTAATGAAATACTTGTCAGCGTCTTCAAGTCCCAAGTTCGGCTAAATGATTGGCAGAAAGTATAAGAGAAACAGGGTCATATTTGACAGTGATTAAGTATAACTTGCATACATTTTTTAGGTGGTGTGTTTATCTTATCATCAGATTATATAAGTATTGACAAAAATAACTCGGCACCCCCACCATTTTAGATTCGGCGCTTATCAAGACGGGTCTTTTTCTTAATAATAAAATCATGTTAGTAATTTGGCATACTTTATTAAAAGTATGAACTGAGGTGCCTTTTTTTATTAAATAAGTAACTAAAGGCTTTTAATTATGAGTTTTTACATTCTATTAAGAGTTTTGCAATGAGGACTATATTTTGTCGCGTAAGGTTGTCTAGACATGCTAGTGGTAACAGTATTCAGACCAAGTATTGTCAGCTTGATGGGGTAGGTTTTTCGTAAAAATGTAAAAAAACAGAATATCAAACAGTTTCTTTAGTAGTACCAAAAACATTAGCCACACTCGTGAAATATATTTTGTATTACTGCAGAGACTGTTCGATATCCTCTATATATTAAAAAAAATGTCTGTTTAAAAGAATATGGAAATCAATGTGATCAACACTCCCTAAGTTCAAAATTCAGCCTATACCTTCCCATTTTGGGGGACGGAATTCGACGGGGATTCCCCTATACAATATATCACTAGGTGTGCTCTATCGTATTATGTTTCAAACTGGCGAGAAATGAGGTCATTGTCACACTGTTTTCTACATTATTTACATTATTAATGTCGTTTTAATCTTTATCATAGCCTGCATAAAATATGTTGTTTTTTCGTGTCTATCATACATGCTGTTCTCATAATTCGTTGTACGCAAGACAGATGTATGTGCTGTATAATTGTAAACTACACCCACTGGCTCAGGTTTTTTTAATATTTTTGTATCCTCTTGTTTACTATTCCCGGCAATAAAACATATTTGTTGTTTCACCTGTCCTGTTTGTATTATATCATTGTTTACTACACCTTTTTATTTCAGTTAATCCATAACTGTTGTTATCTATTCTAGTTCATATCAAAGTATACCATGTTAGTTACTTCGTATCCTACTTCCTGTTTGGGTTCAACACAGTTGTTCACACAAAGAGTATCAGTGCATAGCCTATGTGGTTTATCGAACAACAATACATAAATTAATAGATGTAAACGATATGTATACGCATTGAAAATGGCATTATTTACACACACAAATATACAGTATCTGTTAAAAGGTACATTCTAAGTGGTATATACCTGTGAGTATGTACCTGTGCATCCAGTTGTTTACTGGTTACTACACAGTCACAATACAACATAGCCGGTCATATGTAATATAATTGGACAATAGTTACTGCTAACGAAACTCCTCTACTGAAGACATTTAATTTAAAAGTTAACATGTCAATACACATAAAGTATCAAGTGTAGCAACATTCGAAATATTGACGATATAACTTACCTTAGCTTTCTTGTACAATTAAGGTGCAATTTCCTTCCTTTTGTTGAATCACTGTTTAGGAGATTGTATGCGTCAAAACTGACAAGTCGGTTATGCAATCGCAACTTCTCGGCCAATTCCGGCTAGGCGCGGAATCATACGAGGTATGAATGGGCGGAATTGGCCGAGAAGTTGCGATTGGTCGGTTATGTACGATACCCTGGGGTACGATGTGGTTGTAAATTGTATCCAAATAGACGTGTTTTCAGTTTAGGATATTCGTGTACGTATAATGGGCTACGACTTCACTGCAGTCTGATCTTTTATATGGTACATATAAATGTAAGATAACGTACGGGTTCGATGTAGTTTTAAATCCTACAGTGTACATGTATAACATATGGCGTAATGATCTGTGTATGATTTCGGTGTATGTACAATGACGTACGGGTACAACTATGGGCGAATGTTCATGCGTGAGCTTCATATGTAACATGTACACATAAAAGAAACCCCAGTCAAAATCGACCATGAAATCCCATAGACCTAGCAAATCAATTCACTTGCGTAATTTGGGAAATCGCGCGTGCACAAATCCGTTTATGGAAAAAGACGCCATTTTGGATCGATCGGATGAAGAATAATGAAATAAAATTAATCTATTTTAAAACTGAAACATACGGTCTCAGACAATGTTTTTTTTGTTTTTGTTTTTAATCTTAACGATTTCTATAACATAACGCCGATTTTCACCAAACCCAGCACACACAGACAAAATCTGCGTACAACGCATCAGTCATTATCACGCCATAATCGCTATTGTCCGCGTATATATTTTATACTGATCATAAGCGATGTGGTTTAGTAAGACGGTACATGTTATAAAGAATATATGTCAGGCATATTTGTTTTGAGATTCTGCTGTAGGCTACAAGATGCGTATAGGTTACCTATGAAATACATGTAGATTCTTTTACACAGTCAAATAGAAAAAAATCATAATAACTTTTTAATCAATTTCAGTATGAGATTAGGTTGTAAAAACAACACCACCATTATCATAGAAAAGTATCATTGCAGATAACGGACAACTTGGTAAAAAAAACTTCATTTACCAAATACACTATTCACATGCATGCATATCCTTTTAACTCCTGGCGAAGAGGTTGTAAATATCAAAATGTCATCTCAACAATCGACTCAAATAATGGAAATTGCTCACTGCAATTTACATATGGTGATGATGTCATTTTGTATTAACTCGTCAATGTACTTTGCGTCAGTTAAAGTTTTGGCTAAATTAGGGACCCGTTTTTTTCAGAAAATACCAATATTCGATAACACTAGATAATGGAACCATAATACAAGTGTCTGTGTAATGCTCTGTACAAGATACATATGTATGTGTATCTAGTCATCGTAAAGGAGGTCTACATTTTACATTAAATTTCCTGAACGTAAATATCCAATTTCTGCATTTTTGATTTTTTAATTTTTGATTCTGCAACTTGCTTTATTATGTTGTCATTTAATGATTAAGAATAAAAATGAAAAAGGCTCCTCGTGGAAAGATCTGGTGGTGTAGCGGAACTTAACTGGGTCGATCGTCGGCGACTGGACAGCTCAATTGGTAGAGCGTCCGTCTAGAGTTCGGAGGGTCCCGGGTTCGCATTCCGGTCTGGCCGTGCATTTTCCCTCTCCTGTTACAGTACTTGTGGTGCCTGTGACAAACCCTTGTTTCAAGCATTTGGTGTATGCTTGACAAGGGGATACCCGCACCTGGGTTGTAAATAGTTCTTTCTTCGGGGGTGAAGACTTCGAAAGAGGAGGGAGGAATGTAGCAGAACTGGACTGGGTCGATCGTCGGCGACACGATAGCTCAATTGGTAGAGCGTCCGTCTAGAGTTCGGATGGTTCCGGGATCCCGTTGTTTGCCTCTAGGTAGCACCTATTTCATATTATCTTTAGTTGTATTTTATATATCTGTATGTACAATGACGTACAGGTACAAATCTTATATGCAGTTGGATATATATTATGTATGTGTTTGTAAAATGATGTACGGTTATTCATTTTATATACAGTTGTATATTACATCGGTGTATGTATAATGGATAATGGCGTACGGATACTTTATCCTAGATTGTGTACACTTTGTGTAATTTCTGAGAATATAAACCGACGAATAAGTACAGTATGGTGTACACTTTTTATGATTCGTGTGAATGTAAATGACGTACGCGTACAATGTGGTGTACACGTTGCATTATTCTTATGAATGTAAATGACGTACGCGTACAATGTGGTGTACACGTTAAATGATTCATGTGAGTGTACACTGGTGTACGGGTTCAATGTAGAATACACTTTGTATGATTCTTTTGAATGAAAAATAACGTACGGGGTACAGTGTGGTGTATGCTGGTATTAATGAAACAACTGTGTATGTATAATAATTGTTCGACACAACATGACCTACATGTACACCTACGCGTGATTCATGTGTATGTATAATCGTATGTTAAGATAGCATGTATGGTTCCCATTAAAACATGTAATTTTATTTTATTTTATTTCTTTATTGCTAAATTACAGTGAAGGCACCGCTTCAGGTAAATATTCTCGATCATGAACTCAATGTATTTTTCTTTTTTCTTTAAGCAACAACAACATTTCATTTATTGGCTGATTAGCCTTTTTGCACGGAGATATGTTATCAAACCAAAAGAAATCAAAGTGTATAAAATGAATAGTTTAACTTTTGTTCTTCAATTTTCCCCAAAGATGCCTATTAGTTGTGAATACTTCGATGTAAACTGATCAATGTATATTTACGAATACCAATCTATTAATTAGGTTTTAAATGCATATTTTTAACATTGATGAGGGTATGCAACACAGTTCCGTTCAAACATATTCCATGATGCGCGATCATAAACTCAATGTGTTTTTCATTTTTCTTTGTTTGAACCACGGGCTTAGATAATCTAATTCCGGAAATGTGTTGCATACCCTCATAAATGTTAAAAAGATGCATTTCAAACCTTATATTTACATTCTATTACATTCAATTTTATTATTTGAAATTGAGGAAAAATTGGGTTTTTTTCACGTAAAAAAGCAATACACCGCGGGAAAGATGATGCTTTGTCAATGGTGACGAAATACACAGTTGAGCAATAAACAAATAGGCCTAGTTCCACTTTGCATATTTTTGATCATTTGATTTACATACAAGCATGTTTAAAAAGCATTGATTATCTATAAAATGTACAGTAGAACTTAATTTGGAACAAAAACAAAGCTGTAAAATATTTCAGTTACAAAAAGTCAGAAATTTATTCCGTGTTCGCGCAGGTAGCTGACCGTTAAACCACGGTTGTGCAGAGGCTAAGATTTAAACGAGATTGGTATGGAAATTGAAAATGCATCCGTGAAATGTGAGGTTTCCTCGGAAACTAGATTGCGATTTAAAAGATGCTGTTGACTGAATTCTTGTGTCGACCGACGGTGACAACAGGACCATTGTTGGTGCATATCTGCAGGTGTTTCTGTCGCTTAGGGGACTAGCCGCTTTCGTTGATCGCGATCCAAACAGTTGAACTCGTTGGACCAGAGCTGTTCATTTATGAAATAAAGTCGGACCTAGCAAATCTGATGGTATTTTCAGGCGAGCCTTGATAAAGCCTGTCAAGGCCTGCATGAACATTTGCAGGTTCGCCAGGATTTATACCCGAAAATGTTACATTTAACAAGAGGCCTAATGGGCATGCAACGCTCACCTGGTAATCTTAAAAGCGGACTAAAATACAGCTACAGGCAGAATATCAGTGTTTGATTCATAAGAGCCTATTAAAAGATTTAAACATATGACACCTGTGACCTTGAATGTCGAACAAGGACATTAGGTTGAAAGAGGGCCAGGGTCATTCATTTGAACAAACTTGGTAGACCTTTATCCCAGCATGCTATAGGCCCAATATCAGTACCTTGTGCCTTTTGGTTATTGAGAAGAAATCGTTTGAAGATTTTAACATATTTGACCCCTGTGAACTTGAAAGTGGGTCAAGGACATTCATTTGAACAAACTTGGAAGACCTTCTTCCCAGCATGCAACTAGCCCAATTTCAGTACCCTGGGCCTTTTGGTTATCGAGAAAAAGTCGTTTGAAGATTTAACATATTTGACCCATGTGACCTTGAAAGTGGGTCAAGGTCATTCATTTGAACAAACTTGGAAGTCCTTCTTCCCAGCATGCAACTAGCCCAATTTCAGTACCCTGGGCCTTTTGGTTATCGAGAAAAAGTCGTTTGAAGATTTAACATATTTGACCCATGTGACCTTGAAAGTGGGTCAATGTCATCCATTTGAACAAACTTGGTAGTCCTTCTTCCCAGCATGCTACTGGCCCAGTTTCAGTACCCTGGGCCTTTTGGTTATTGAGAAGAAGTCGTTTGAAGATTTTAACATATTTGACCCATGTGACCTTGAAAGTATGTCAATGTCATCCATTTGAACAAACTTGGTAGTCCTTTATCCAAGCACGCTACAGGCCCAATATCAGTACCCTGGGCCTTTTGGTTATTGAGGAGAAGACGTTTAAATTAAAAAGTTGACGCCAGACGGACAAATGCAGACAAATAGGTTGTTCCATATAAACGAACAGGCCCTTCGCCACTTGCAACGGACGCTAGCTAGAGGACAGCAAATGTTCCTGTTCTATTGAAAAGGACCTGTTGTGGGATCCTCACCACCTAAGGATGCTTCCAACACATATGGCTGATATCATTCTTAGTTTCATAAAAGAGGTCGCTGAAAGCAATATGGCCAATTTAGCCCTTTTTGGCCCCGCCCCTTAGCCCCCTGGGTGTCGGGTCCTTAATTTGTACAATTTTGAATCCCATCATCCTGATGATGCTTTCAACCAAACACATGTATGGTTGATGGTTGATATTTTTGTTTAGTTTCTGTGAAGAAGTCGCTTAAAGCAATATGGCCAAATTACCACTTTTGGCCCCGCCCTTCAGCCCTCTAGGGGGTTAGACCATCCATTTGTACAATTTTGAATCCCGTCCACCTCGGGATCTTTGGATGAATTCCAATCAGCGGTTATTAACTACGGAGAAGTTGTTTGAAAAAATAAATTCTTTAAACAACCTCGCAAATATCTTGGTCGCAATGGGAAGTGGGTAGGATCCTAAAAGGCAAAAGCAACTTAAATTAAAGGGTTCCTAGAGGCTAAACTATATTATTATCACTGTCACTATTTTGAAATGTTCGTTCAAGTTTTTTCAAAAAAAGTGTTCAATAAAAAACATTTGTTGTAATGCATTTCACAGAATTACAGTTGATCGCAACTTTAATGTTTGTAAACAGAAAATAAAAAATAAAAAGCAGAAAAAATGCACGGGTAGAACCCTACACTTTACCAAGCATGGGCTGCAAAGCCTATACACAAATCAATGAACATTGAAATGGGAATTAAAGGTACTCAAAAATGGTAACCAAAAGAAACACATTTAGCTTCATCATATATATATGTAGAAATAAAATCTGAAAAAGCCCGTTTTCGCGAATATAACTGACGCAGTTGTACCATTTGTATTAAATGAAAATAAGAATAACTAAAAAACAACGCTGTTCATGGTATTTATTTGATTTTGATTATAAAGTTTATTACATGTATATATGAACATTTTTGTAAAACATCCATATTATTTTAATAGTGATTCTGTAACGAACATAATAATTTATACATTAAAAACATGAATGTAATGAATTTATCCTTTTTTTTCAAAAATACATTCTCATTTGAATACTAACAAATAATAGCTTACACATTTAAACATCAATGCTTGTAACGCAGACTAAGTCTCCATGTCGTTATAAAATAGATTTTCATCATGCACACCTCTACACATATAGTGCTACTGTACAAATACAGGGTTTGTTAAGGACAAGCCCTAGATTTATTGGATCTATTTGTACATGTACCATCACTTTTCTTTTCAGTCATAAACTATCCCGAAGTCTTCCTCCTCGAAATGTAAATGAAGAAAGCATAAATAGGCAAATATACATGTAAGCAATCAGTCCAGAACACGTAAACACAACGTAGATCTTTGAAGACCCATGTCTTGTGTCCTAAAATCAAACATCTTCTAATCTAAGGGTTTTGCATTATATATACATATCTTCTCCAACACCCTTGGGCTATATCAAAGTTTCACAGTAAATTTAATTGGTTTCAGACATCAAAATCGTGACCTATCGCACGGCCGATACATTTCCTTCGAACATTACATTGGAACTACACCAAGCTCAAAGACAATCGATTTTGCCGTTTCGGTGCAGTGCGATTCCTTTCATTTCGTATCAAAGAAATCACATGTATGCTAGATTTCGTAACAGTTTCCAGTCTAGTCAACTCTTTTCAGCCGCAAAGGGTATTAACAGAGCCGTCATTTTTGACATTACATATTCCAACGGAGCAGAAAACTTGTATCGACATGGGGAAACTGTGGATTTTAAATGTTAAAAACGTATATCAAGTCACTACTTGACTAGCAGCATTACAGAAGTCGACGCGTGGTATAAAGCAAAGTGTGTGAAGTTTTCAGTTGGAAGAAAAAAACAGATCATGTTTGGATGTCTGAGAATATTTGCTTACCATTAAGAAGTAAAAGTATATGTGCATGTACTGTACTTATCCGGCAATGAACCCGTGTCAGGTGATAAGCCCTCTGAAGTCAAATACAATTTAGTCGAAACATTAACAAATCTGATTTAATTGTCCTGCAATAAGGCCCCCCCCCCCCCCCCCCCCCCCNTAAAAACAATATATACATTACACACATTTCTCTTCACCTGATCATTGAAAGATGGAAATGTGATGACCAAATCATAAATAACAGACCTTTCCTTGTCATTTTAAACATGTTTATCTTTTTCAGTTCATTCTCATACTAATTTGCTGGTTCATGGCAAAACGTTAACAATTGAAATTTTCCCCAATGATGTAACATTGGTATCACAACAAATCGATACACAGGTTTGACCACAATATGGCTTAATAAGAATGACCACAATATGGCTTAATAAGAATGACCACAATATGGCTTAATAAGAATGACCACAATATGGCTTAATTAGAATTACCACAATATGGCTTAATTAGAATTACCACAATATGGCTTAATTAGAATTACCACAATAATGCTACATTGCAGGGCAACACTGTTAACCTCTTACTTGCAATTGGCAATCATCATCCCTTCATATCGACTTATTTGCGAGGATTTGAACACCACAATCAATAACATCCATGCAATAAATATCTGATTTATTATACATTTCCCAGATGAAATATACAGTATTATCATGTAGTGTTTATAATAGGATATCATGTTGGATATTAGTCGAGGAACAAATACCTGTTCTTGATTTTTTTTTAGAGTTTTAGTGACTAAATTTCATATTGTAATTAGCACAGTTCAGAACAAGTCCTTCCTTGCATACATATATATTCAAACTATGAAGATGTGACTTACAGTTTAGATCCAAAAATACACATTCCTAATTTGAGCATCCATGATTATAAAAATGTTTCAGAAGTGCTATTTGTTCTTTGTCACAAAACAGAGCTAGTGTATTAAGGATATACTTTAAAGTTTCTCTAAAACATATTTTTTCCGCTAAAAAAGCTTCATCCTGAAAAAAAATGTATGCATCTTAAAAAACCCATCTCAAATGAATTTTATTTATCTGTTAAAAATGTCGAATGTCTGTATGTTTGAATTGGTAGTTGTGTAGGGGAGATAACTCTTTCTAAACTCACAGGTTTACTGTTACAAATTTACACTGCAGGTAGATTGACCCCTAAGAACCCTAAACAGTTGTGGGATTCTGCTTTGATACACATTTAAACACTTGTTTGCTAAGAAAACAAAAATCTTTCTTTTCCGTAAGCATAGAAAAAAATGCATTGATTACAGATGGTTTAATTTCCTTTTGTTAAACTGAATTGTTGCACTATAAAGTGTTGTATGATAGTCTAGAAATGATTAGAGTGTGTATGGCATAGTCAATATCAGAGAATAACAAACCTATAATCACAATCAATATAATAATGTTTGTATACTTAATAATCATAACATTGTCCATCACAAAAAAAATACAACAATAACAAAAATTTCATACATAAAATCTACCCACACAGCCACACCTGAACAATCTACAAACAAGTGCCATTCAATAACATTCGGATTGAAAATCAGCGCAGGATATAGTATACGAGACCTTTAAAAACAATTACCCTCAAGAAGGACACTATATAAAAGCACATTGGAAAATACCATTCATTTGTGGAAATGTTGCAAAAACAAATTAAAAAACTTGACCAGTGATGAACAATTAAGAAGAGGTCCTCAGTTTTAATTTTTTACTGATTTGATAACCCTACCTAGCTTGCTGTCTAACACTTTCTGTGAGACAGTCACCCCAACTAAATACTACAAGCCAATATATTTTCTCCTGATAAATTGTTGCCCTAGAATTTTCCAGAAGTGTTTTTGTCTGCATTAATTATCCTTTGTGTCCCATTGAAGCCCAAGATATAAAAGAATATTAATTTTATTATTCCTGTTCTAAATCAATCCTCTTGTTTTAGAGAGGAAAAGAGAAGCATTTCCACCAACACAACCTACATATTTTGTCAGACATATACTATCACTCCTTAACGTAAATATAAACATCATTCATTTTTCCGTTGCTCTGGCTGTTGGAGACACTGGTCAATATTAACAAAGAAAAGGTGAAAAAAAAGTCTGGTTATGTTAATTAGTTTGAAATAGTATGTAGTAAGTGACTTTAACAGTCATCTAAATGGCAGATATATGATATCTATATACAATTATATACAAAAGAAATGATGATGACACTAACCAAGTGATAACAGCACACAATTCCTAATGAGACTTGTCAGTATTCCCTTAATGTAATTAAAAGGACCATCAAAGCAAAATGTATTTATTCCCATTGTCATTGTTCAGAAATATTTCATAAAAAGTTATTTTCTACAGATATATTCCACTTAAAACATATCTTGTAATGCATTTTTAAAAATACTAGCAATTTAATTGTTCAAAATTTTAGAAAAACAGAATATATATATTTTGAATTTAAAAAAAATCCATTTTTCATATTTTGAAAGAAGTTTCAGTTGTCAAACTTGCAACCCACCGACTTCTGTTCCCACACATTCCCATTTTTTTTGTCCAGTTTTAACAGATTACCAGTAAAAATAAAAGATGACTACCTTGCCATGGAGAGAATTCTAACTAAGAAATTGTCCTTTTTGTTGTCGAATCTTCTATATATACAAGGGAGAATACTCCAGCACTGAAGTGGAACTCTTCTTTGTGTATAGGAGTCTTTTTGTTACCTTAATTTTATAATTACTTTAAAAATATACAAAAATAGTACAAATTAATATATAACAATTGTTTCTAAATTAAGTTTTTAATTCATGTATCATATGAAAAATGTATCACTCTTTTCTTTTATATAGAGTCGATCAAAACACTCAAGTTTTTTTTAGTAATTTAATTAGGATATGATTAGAATTACTATCGCTAGCTAGATATATATATCCAAAACTATTGATGTGTTATTTAAAATCTTGATAGTCTAGCCTTGCCTATATTGATGTTAAACTATGTCATTTGTCAAAAAATTCTGTAAAGTGGATTTGTTTGTGGATGCCAATTTTCCAGTTTTCAGTCTTCAAACAATTTATGGTGTGTAAATGATTATCTTGGCAATGCAACAAAAATAAAAAATTCAGAATGTGTTGATGTGTTCGCACATGCGTTCAAGTATTGTAATGTTGGTTTAATAACCACAAGTATTAACGGAAAATTTCAACAACACAAAACTCCTCACTGTTTACTGTGTATGATTTTGATACAGAGCGTATTATCATAATGTAGGATTAATAGAGAGAATACAGACTTGATNTGTCCTACAACATACGACATGAAATATCTGTCACAAGTTAGAACCTACATATACCACATATATGCTGTAAATCACCCACTTTGTATAAATATTGACTTTCATCGAGGGTTAGGTTGTTGTTATATCTCTTACAGTGTCGGCGAAACAGTCAAACTTAAAATATTTTGAACTAATTGTGGGACAATCAGGAAAACTTTGAAACATCAAGACTTTGACTCGTGTTTGCTGAATTTTGAACATCTTTGAGATCCTTTATATATTGGTACTGCATAACATGAATGTGATTGTTAACCCTTTCACCACTGTAGACCATAATGGACTCATCCCCATAAATGCATGGTAGAGTCTACTATATATAGTTACCTAAGAGTGAAAGGTTTAAGATCTAAATACTGGAACATAACTTTGTATCCAATAATGCAAGTAATGCAAGTATGTGGTGCAAATGGATACACCACGAGTGTGCTTTGTAGACAAGTGTACGTATACATCTGCTCATAAAGAGAACTATCCGCATTAGTTAATAAAACCAATGAGTCCCATTCATGTATTATGATATGTTGTGATACATACTGTATGTGTGTTACCAAGTAATCGAACATGTTCGAGCAATGCAGAGTTCCAGAAAACCGGGCCAGAAAACATCACACAGGTATGAAATACATTTACATATTTTAAACTTTAAAGATTGACCAATTCAAATTTTTGTTTAAAGTCTACACCAGTTTCTGCCACTGTTGTATGATTGAAGATCAATTAACCACAGATTACAAGCTTTTTAAAACACAGAATAGGTCTCCCGCATACATTGGCGTGCAGTCACGACACATCGCTAGCTTCCGTCATCCCGATCTTGCTGTGGGTTTTTTAGCGCACCAATTGTCTGTGTGACTGAGGTCACATCATTTATAATCATCTGGGCTATCTTTAATGCCATATCTTCTTGTTCCTGCAAAAAAACAGCATTGATTAATCAAGGTCATAGAAGAAATTTGATAAAATTTTGCAGGCTTGGTAAAAAACAAAACAAAACAAAACAAATGGTATATTGATAACAGTATGAACAATTCTAAAGTATCATGGTTACCTCTCGAAAATATTTCTTTTGTTAGATCATTAGAGATACATGTCCATTACTTACCTTCCGAACAAGATTATTTCCAGTTATAGCTATCCAAGATATCAAATTAAGGACAAAATCAGAATTATATCTGAAATGTCCTTATTAAACGTTTATTACCTTTTCTTTTGCTTTCTTTCTCTTAAAGAGTCCAGATGCTGAAATAGGAAAACAAAATTAACACAAACTAAAATCCAGGTATCTTTAAATTTGTCAAAACTTGCGTATATTTTGTATTTCCAACAAGAAATTTGAAAGCCAGGGGAAATTTAATATCCACAAGGGCTCCTTCAAACCTGATATATCTTAAGAGTCATAAAGTTGAATAATAATGATAATAATAATTGGAGTATACCGCTTTATCACAACCTAGTTCGTAGGTTGTCTCAAAGCGGTTCACAAATTATTATCCATTGTTATAGGGCCTTTGCAACCAGCCAATATTTTTCTCAACTCCCTGGGGAGCATACAGCCATTGCGGCCATTTCAGCGCTCACAACTAGCATTCAACAATTCTAGTACTACCTAACCACGTACTCATTTACAGCTGAGTAGACTGGAACAAGCTGAGTAAAGTATCTTGCTGAAAAATTGAACACAGTGCCGTGCCGTGACTCGAACCTGCAACCCTTCAGTCACGAGCCCGGCGTCCTACCATGCCACTAGACTACCGTGTCTCCTTAAAACATTGAACATTGATTTGCTTAAGGAAAAAAAGAATAACAATAGAAGCTCAAGATTGGTTTAGTTTGGTTTAGTATTGTTTAACGTCCTATCAACAGCTATGGTCATTTAAGGACTTCCCACCCTTCATAATACACATGTTTTTCTTGGCGTGTTTTCGTGTCGTCATTTCCATATTGCGTATCGGGCATTCCATTACCGTAGTGTAAATTATAGTAACACTGGGTAAACAATAGAACACGTGCATGATGCGATATGTCAACACCCGATATCGATACTTAACTTAACACATTTTTCTAAAAAAAAGCTTATGATACAAAGACATTAATTAACTCATGGGAAAACACTGACATAAGATCAAACGACTTGAAGAAGGTCGTATATGAGGTGCATGGAATGCAGACTGATGTGTTTTGTTTACCGACCTCACCAGTACGTATCACGTGCTAACAGTAGTTCACAAGCTCTTGGTCGCTACGACTTTTGTTGTCGAGCGAGTTACGCTCTGTCAGTTAAATCTTTTCACAAATGCAATTACAATAACTCTGTGAAAATAGTGGTTTGTAAAATATCAAGATCCCTATAAAATTTAAGTGCATGTTTGCACGCGATAACGGCATACCATGCGATAGCCTATGCCCTTACATATGTACCTGACATGTAAATATACCATGCATGAGCGGGCTATGGAATGATGTCCAAAGTGTACATGTTGAGAGTAATTTTGTTCCATAAAAGAACAGTAAATTGACAATTAAATATAGTAATTTAATTTATTTCCGTCGTTTTCTAAGAAAAAAAGTGACATTGTATAAATTCTATCCCTCTGCAAAAAGTTCCGATTTTTTTTCAAGGTACACAACTCTCATCAGGATCAAAATTATTGTAAAATGTAAAATAAATGATTATAAAGATTTGTGTGTATTTTGTTCAATTTTTCATTCTTTTTGTATGAAACTATGTGTCCTGTTTGCTTTTAGCTTGTATTTAGTAACTTTTGTCCATACAATTTCAATAAAAAACGCTTTTTGTAACATGTTGTAGATATTCAATGATAAATAAAATATTTGTAGGGTTAATATGCAATGTTTCTTTTCATTATTTTATTGTTGTAATAGTTTTGAACAATGCCACACACTCAAAAAATGTGAAAGTGTTGAATTTGACAAAAAAATAATTTTTTGGTATTTTTTTACCAGTTAAATCATCTATACATATTGACATAACCATTATGTGAAACTTTCATTGAATTCTGCTGGCTAATTGCAAAAGGGTAGAGCCACCTTAAGGACGGCCTCCCCTGTATGCAAGATGCATGTATGTAGTGTATGTGTGTATGTTTTGGGAGGCTACGATATGTTCGTGTTTGTCTCCTTGTGATAGCGCGGAACTGATGCCGACTTTATAGTGCTACCTCACTGAAACATACTGCCGAAGACACCCAGCAGGACACAGAACCTCAAGAAAAGTTTAACATCACCAACTATACTGGCGTTTTTCAGTAAATGCTTATATACTGGTACCTTTGACTTTCTCTTGGTCTGGGTTGGGGTCAAACTCTGACACGAACTCCCCAAGGGTGTCCACCTTTCCCAAGCTCATTCTGTAGATACAAGATAAAGGAAATATGTAACATATAAACTTTATTTATTTTTACGAATTAAGAAAGCAGATATTTCAACTTGTTGTTGGCCTTGATATTAGCAAAAAGGAATAATACTGTATTATCGAGCAATAAGCTCATGCCTGGTAATAAGTCAACCCATTTTTAATGTAGTTCAGTAGAAATGCCAAATTATTATTTAACTCTCCTGTTTTAATCACATCTTCCATTTGAGTTTGAGATTTAGCGTTTGGCCTTTTGGCTTATTGCAAGCAAGTATGGTATTCATAATGATTAAAAGATCTTTAGGAGCAAAATCAATTTCTACAACTGTTTTACTCTGAGAGAAAAAAAGTTAACAAAATGTTTTATTATAGAGAAAACTATTTATATGGAAAACCTTGAAAACATGTTTATTAGGACTTTTCCAAAAACATATGTATATTTGTATAGTACCATAGCTAGTTGAGGGACATACTTTGTCATGTAAATATGTGCTGTCTAAATTTTTCGTGGATATACCCATATACTGCAAATTGGGATATTTTCAATGTGTGAATCTTTGTGTTTTGTGCAAGATTCAAATTCCCAAAAATAAAACACGTACAAATCTACCGACTGTAAACAGTAAGTGTCAAATAAGCTTTATCCTTGTATCAGGGCACCAGTTTTCCTGAACTGTTTTTACAAACGCTGGCAAGGTCTGGACCTGTCACAGTAATCTGGGGGGTTCTATCGTTGTGGTGCAGGGTGGATCACCAGTAAAAATAATCAGCTAGTCCTGGTCACTGAAGAAAAATGTGCTGACTCCGCACAAACATGTACAGATATTCTTGAGTGTACCCTTCCACCCTTTTTGAAGTGCATGCAATAGTAGAGTCTGATTCTGGCCGAACATGAAAATTTCATGACCAGTTTATTTTACAAATTTTCAACCCTGTACATGTGTCAACATATTTTTGCACATAGCCCTGATTCGGGAAGATACACAGGTAAAAATCAAACTACAGCTGTTTTTGAGAAATTCTCAAAAATTAACCTGCATACAAATATCCTGATTTACGGTAATACCAGGTATACAAAAGAAACTGGATTAAAATTGGGCGCCTATTAGAATGAAAAAATATGAGTTACACAGTAAAGTTGAACCGTTTTCGATTATCAAAGGACATTCTAAACATTCCAGTGTGGCTGGAGGTTTGGAAATCAAATGTTTTATCCGCTTTACAGCAAGTCCAGCTATGGTCACCAGACTTGTAAGTATTGTAAATATGTGCTTTAAAGTACTATAAAACATTGACCAGGCCCGGTAAGTACTCAGATGGGGTCAATACAATTTCAATTCATCTAAAAACAGAAAAAGGAAGGGCGCTCATTACAGCAAATTATGTAATAGCTTTCACCTGGTGTTTTTTTTCTAAAATGTTGAATGTGATAAATGTATACCGAAAGAGTGCAAACTGAAGCTGAGAACATGCGAAAAAATTAAGCAATGAATTTCTTAAGATAAACTCCCAATGGACCAAACAACACTTGTTATTTTGAGTTAAAAAATAATTAGTAAACTACCCGGTATACAATACTTACAATTCAGTAGAGCTATAAAATATTTTGAAAAGCCATACAAAGTTAAGGCCTCAAATAACACACTAATTGTTTGCTTAAACCCAAGCAAATGAGAAAATTCAACCATCACCTATTTTCATCAAAATTTTGCCTTTATTTTTGTATTAATATTTCTAAAATTTAGTCAGTTGTCCATCATTTATTGTTTGTTTTCTCTTTAACCAAAACATTGGATCTTCTTACTCCTGAGTAGGTATAAAGCTGCACATTATCCTTTAATTAAAACAAAGGTTTAAAGGATTAAATCAAGATTCAAATCAGTAAAAAGAGTTCAAACCATGAAAAAGAGGAACATTTGTCAAAATATAACTAAAACACTGACAGACTCACCATGTGCCTGACCGTACAACCTCCCCCCCCCCCCCCCCCCCCCCAACCTTGGTCTTTTTCAGTAATAGTAACCCGACCTTGCACGTAAATATATCACAGTGTATCACCGTGTCAAATTTCTAAAAGTCTTAGAATTCAGAGATAATCACTGTAAATGAATGTGTAGACAGATGGACACCATGATTATTATACGGCACTCGTATCTCTGATGTGGGGCGCTGATAAAATGTTTTCCCTACCTACCTACATGAACCTACAAACCCATCAACACTTAAAAATTGGATTGGGATCTAGGTAAACGCTTTATTATTATCGACCTTAAGAACCAGTATACAGTGTTAAGCAAAGCCATTACACGTTTATTATCGTTATATAAAATATACCTGGTAGTAGAGACATGTATGCAGACCAACTGCTAGTTAGCCATAGTGCAAATGGCTACATTAACTCAAGTGATGTACATTATACATGCAGGGAAAACAAATTATTATTTCAGCAGAAATTTACTTTGGACTGTGTCTTTTCCATAAAAGGTCAGGGTTCAGGAGCCCAGGATCAAGGTTCATGGCAGTGTCGAGCTTGTTCATGCTGTGACGTAGATGACTCGTGTCTGTGGCCAGGTAGGTGTTTTTGGACGATCGACTTTCACTTCCAGCACTGTGACTGCTGTGTTCTGAGGAGGCATCACTAGCTGTGAATAAAGAAACGGCAATTTAAGAAGGTAAAATTTTATTCTTATTCATTGTTAAATAAAACAAAACTGTCTGCATATGAACAAAACTTAAACATTAAGGTAAAGGGCACCACTGCATCAGCTATAACTGTGTAGAAGAGTTCCACTCAAGAGTTTTTGACTTAGAATGTTCTCCCTTTGATATAAATGATGAAGCAAGCAAAAGTGTTTTTTGTCTCGCCGCCACGAAGTAGCGGAAACGACTAAGGTGTTGCTTTTCCGGCGATGGCGTCAGCATAAAGTTTTTGCGTTTAAGTTAGTTTCTCTGAAACTTTAAGACTTAGTGCTACACCAACCAAACTTGGACCATAGAATCGCATCTTATAAGGTAGCACATCTCAACCCATACATCAAATGCTGGATGCTGCCTACCTTTCATGGTCCATTGACTTTGTCAGCATCTCCATCAACATAAGGTTTTTGCGTTTAAGTTAGTTTCCCTGAAGCGTTAAGTGCTAGACCAACCAAACTTGACATGTGCATTGATGGTCAAAGCGAGGCACAGGCGAGACATATCTTTCCGAATGGCTTGTTTTCGGCAAGAGTAGTTTCCCTTGTTAAATTACGTATTTTTCAATATTCATTTTTTTTCCATACATTCTGTCGCCCATAAATTAGACTTTCATTTTGTGCAGTTCATTGATTATTCCTAGATGACAACAGTATAGTTGCAAAATGTAGGTTTTTCAATGTGAAGCTCCTGTGTTTATAATTAACCTCCACAAATTTTCTTCTTTCTTTCTTATTTACTTCTTTTTTAAAACAGCAAATTTTGAAAAACTGAAATTCAATAAAATTACTTAGAGCCTGGGATTTTATCGAATAATTCGTTTGAAAAAGAACTTAAGCAAATATTTCACAATAGTGACAATAATAATACCAGAAACTATGTAGTTAAGCTTGTTGGTACCCTTTACTTAATTATAAACTTAAATGTAAGCTATAATTAGAAATGTTATTTCAATGCAGTTAATGGTAAAATTATCAGTAAAAGTGGTAATTTCATCAATTATCAGTAAAAGTGGTAATTTCATCAACTATCAGTAAAAGTGGTAATTTCATCAATTTTCAGTAAAAGTGGTAATTTCATCAATTTTCAGTAACAGTGGTAATTTCATCAACTATCAGTAAAAGTGGTAATTTCATCAATTTTCAGTAAAAGTGGTAATTTCATCAATTTTCAGGTCAGATTATTTAAAGTTTAGAGTAAAATGAGTCAAACGACTAGCTTCAATTTAATGGGTTAATAGATTAACACTATTTTTCATAGGTCAATCATTTAAGTTGGTATATATGGAGTTGCAATCTAGCTATATTGTCATATTAACAGTTTTTGCATTAATGATGCATAAGCATTTTCAAAATTATTGTCTTCTCTGTAGACAGTACCCCTCCTCTAATAACAATATCTACATTTTTTCAGGGATACACAACATGTCATTTTAACTCTTCTATCACGAAAAATAACGAATAGCACAATGTCACTCTAAGTCCCAATATTTTGGCCTCCTGGCCGGCCTTCTTCAAGGGTGAAAGGCAACAACTGATTTCAAACCTCTGAAGAGGCAAGATGGACATCACTTGAACCAATCGTTGACTTTCGCCCTTGAAGAAGGCCAGGAGGCCGAAATATTGGGACTTTGAGTGACATTGGTTCTACATTGTATCCTTTTCCCCTTTGGAAATCAGCTGTTGTTTATTAAGGCTTCTATCATGGATTTTCTGCAGTGTACTGACCGGTGCGTTTACGTTGTCGAGGTGGGTAGTTGGCTGTTTCCACTGTGCTAACCAGCTCAGATAGATACTTGTAATATACATCACTCTGTAAGTAAGCCTTAAAGTATGCCTGAAATACACAAAATTTACATCAGAGACAAATTTTCAGAAAAATTGCAAACATTGCTATAATAGTCTTAACTAGAAGTGTTTTCAAGGAACACATTATCATGATGATGAATGGCTTGGCCAGGTGAGCTAAAAACTGACCCTTAAAAATACTTAAAAAGTGGGATACTGACAGAGTCACTGAAACAAATACCAAAGGTACAGTATCAATCCAACATCACTTGTATCGAAATAATGAAGTAAAATTTATCGAAATAATGAGGTAAAATTTAATCAGAATTCTTCTGACTTTCAAACGAAATAAACAGAGAGTTACACTAGTACTGCGACTTTCTAAATTCTTACAGCTTATTTTATCATCAAGATTTTTGTTAAGTAGAACAGTGTTTTTGGAGACTTACCTTCTCTATAGTTTTAAGGACGATATCTCGTGGTTTGGCAAAACACTCCGGAAGTGGACCTTCTTCCCGACATATATTTTCTTCTATCTCAAACCTTTTTTTATCATCAAAACCAAGTGGATCTGTAGCTTGCAAAGAAAAATATCTGAAAGAAATTGTGTTCAAACATGGGATTATTTAGTCCATCACACAAGTATCATATGAAACATTTTATAGAAAAATATTGAAAAACAAGAGGCCCATAGAGCCTGTATCGCTCACCTAAATATATGTTTAAAATAATTGGTATGAATTAAAGATATGGCACTCAATGTTAGGTGCTGTAAGTACATATGAAATTTCAGAAAGATCCATACTTGTACTCCGTACTTGAAATATAGCAAGAACTAACTTCAAACAGAGCCCCACCCCTATGCCCTAAAGGGGTCATACCCACCAATTATACAAAATTGGGGTTCTCCTTCACCCAAGAATGCTTCTGACCGATTATGGACCAAATCCTTTCATTCCTACAGAAGAAGAAGGATTTTGAAGAATAATTTGCTATGTTTCCCCTATTGGGCCCCGCCCCTCAGGCCCCTTGGAGGCCAGACCCACGGTTTAAACAAAATTGGTTCCCCTTCACCTAAGGATGCTTCTTACCAAAAATGGAACAAATCCTTTCATTCCTAAAGAAGAAGAAGGATTTTGAAGAATAATTTGCTATATTACCCCTATTGGGCCACGCCCCTCAGCCCCCAGGGGGGCCAGACCCACCATTTATACAACATTTGTTCCCCTTCCCCCAAGGATGCTTCTGACCAAATTTGGTCAAAATCTGCTCAGTCGTTCATGACTAGTAGCGTTTTAAAGGAAAAGTTGACGGGCGGACGACGGTCGCTGCGGTATGGCATAAGCTCACCATGGTCCTTCGGACCAGGTGAGCTAACAATAAAAAGCGTACTGTTACAAACTTTGAACCTCAATTTGAAACTGATAAGTTGGTTGGTTATTTGCTTAATGGCCTAGAAACAATAGAGATGTATCGGGCCTGACAACAAAAGGGGAACTTACAAAACTTAATACGCCAAAAGGAAACTGAATGGTAAAACGTTAGAAAATGCATACACACAGCGAAATGGTCAGTTATCATTATGACATGTGTTTTTGGAACTATCAAATTTTATGATGTGTACAAATTTCACATAGATATATTCAAATCATTATAGAATGTATTTTTGCAAATGTCTAATTTTATGATATAGACAAATTTAACAGAGATTCGACAATGTGTGACAAATTAACTGCATGGGATTAAGTTCTCACATCAGGCATATCATGAAATTGTCTCGAATCTGTTAAAAATTGGCACATTCAATCAAAATGTGAGGCAACGTGAGGCACAGTCATATGTTGTCATAGGTTCTATGTAGTATTTATCTATTCTTTTCTCATATCTGTTGGATTGAGTCATGTAAGCAATAAATCCACCTTGTGGTAACTTTTGATCTACGCTTCATAATGATATGTACCTATAACATTGTTCTTTCAAAGTGAGGTTTTACTTGGCCTATTTACTAGCACAGTACTAAATGTGTAAAAAGGTGAACCTAAGATTGAAATTTGAAAAAGATCTGTCTAGTACTTTTTGGGAAATACAATGTACATGTATGTAGTGATATATCACTTCTGCCTCAAAATGAAACATGCACAACTTAACTATATATGAAAATGAACATATAAATTTGATAAAGATCTATCTAATAATTCTTGAGAAAAGTGATAACCAAATTGAAATACCAAATTCAAGATGGCTATCTATAGTGGCCATCCTGTTTTTCTAATCAGTCTCTGTACACTGACAGACCACTGGAAACCTTCATGTAGAACTTGAGGTAGATCAAACCCGTTTTTTGAGAAATAACACTTACAACCTCTAATTCTCAAAATTCAACATGCCAACCTGTCAGTCATCTTGACAATTTGATATGCATCACTATATCTAAGGGTACATGGGAATCCTAATGTGAAATTTGAGAAAGGTCCATCAAGTACTGTCTGAGAAATAGAGCTAACAAACTCTCAAAATTCAAGATGGCCGCTTGTTGACCATCTTGGTTTTCTGATCAACCCAAAAATTGATCCCTGAGATACCTTTTGAGAAAAAGCGATAACAAATCTGAACTATCAAAATTCAAGATGCGCCCATAGGATTGGTTTTCAAATCAATCCTAAAATTTGATATGCATAATTAAGGGCAATGAGGAATATTCATGTGAAATATTTTAAGGAAGATCTCTCCAGTACTCTTTGAAAAGAACAAGAATTGTTTTAGGGCAGACCAAAGACAGATAGACCATGGACGAAGGCGACTTGAACAGTCTACCATCTGCTGATATTGGGCTATAAGCTTGTGGTACATGTACAGTACACACAACATGTTGTATTCCATATGGGACACTTCAGTATATAGATTCGTTCAGAGTGTACAAGGCTATTACTGCTGAAGGTATAGAGCATAGGTAACAGGAGGAGATGATGGGAACTGTGCATGCTCTACACACGTAAGGTAAAATAATGTGTATACCATACATAAACAGGTAGGCGTATATGTGCGATGGATTAGCAATCTCATCTGGAGTTGTTGAAGGCTGATGTCATAAACCAGTATATTGCAATTCACAGCCATTGTATTGTATTGTAATAAAGAAATGAAATATCGCTGAAGTGCAATATTTTTCAAAAGCTTATTTGATGTGTCCACTAAGTGTTTTAATATTGTCCATTACTGCCCATTCTAAAAGATATGCCAATCACCACACCCAGGTTTGTACTGGTGGTGGGAATCAGTTGAAATTTTATAGTTGAAGGTAGTTTAAAAAAAAAATATTGTCAATCCTGTTCGAATTACACGAAATTGTAGCCACTTCAATAAAGAGTAGTTCGAACTATCCCAGTCAACATCGGTAAAAATCACTGCAAATACAGTCAAGTCGTTGATACGGAACAACGATGACCTTATATAGCGATATATATTTGCAAATCTGGAGATGAATAATGGAATATATATCTTTCTTATATTTACTTACATATTCATTATCAATTAGTAAGTTCAATTGCAAAGCAGAGACAAGTGTGTAGGCCGCAAAGCAGTAGATGTTTTCTTGAGTAATGACGAAAGTTCAGTTGTACTGATCGATCAGAATGCGGAGGGTGGATTGAAACTGCAATTACGGATTAATATTTTGATCGACCACCTGGTCAGATATTTTTGTTTTGGCACATGTATAGGTATTATATCAATTAAGTTATAAATCAGTGATCGGTGGCCAGGTCGCGATAAGATATATATTTAAATTGCAATCATATTGTATATTGTTCAGTTTGATACCCTTCTGACAATTATTTCTTTTTAAATTGAGCATCTATCTCCATGGACTATACTTGGAATTCTTTGATAAAGCTGGATGTTTTGTTTGTTTTTGTATTGTTTAACGGCCCATCAACAATGTCAGTTATTTAGGCGATATAACCTTCAAGATAGACATTTACAAACAAGAAAACATCAAACAAAAAATAGCAAAAGTGTAAAAGATGTAAAAAGAATATCTCAATAGCGAAAAAATTGGTTGTGAAATATATTAAATTGTGTTGTAAAGATCGATTGAGTACAAGTACATGTAATCATATATCAACCACTGAAACTGTATCAAATAAACTTTTCACAGACGGTACATTATAGAATTGGTCATTATTTAACTGATATGGTAATAAGCTAGGTCTAGCTAGTGGACTAGACGGAGGTTATTTGAAGGTATCCCAATGATATCATTGGGATACATATCATTATTATGTATATTTTTCTCTTATGGCAGAATACCAATATTTTTCACGAGTACGAACCACAGGTGAAAATATCGTGATTCTGCCGCCGTACAAGTGAAATATATATGGTATTCTACAGGTAAAACATTAAATTTTCAATTTTTAACATTTCAAAACTACCTATAGACAACAAAAAATGACTACATCATGTTAGTTAGGGATATAACACATTACCAATGACATGACACTTGATTAGGCAGTGCGCTTTTTAACACAATTCTGCTTTTTTCTATTACTTGGGAAGATTCAAATGGTGTCAATGTGTAGGTAAATCAATACCTGAGAGTATGTAGCATCAAGATGTACGAAAACATTCATTTTGCTATCACTTCATCTGTATCGTAACAGAAAAACTGCGGCTTTGAATAAAATGAGAAAACAAGAGTACCGCGGGGCAGAACGATATACGCCCGGCGAATGCCATATAGTGTTATATACTTTCTTACATTGAAAAAAGATCTGCATCATTCTAAGAGAGGTTAGCTGACATGCTATAAAAAATGTAGGAGAAAATCTGCGGATAAAAAAATCAAATACTGAAATGATCAAAGGGCAATAACTTTTGCAAAAATTGCTGAATCGAAATTCTTTTAAGGGAGACACAACTTCATATCATAATTATAATGTAAACCAAGTTTCAAAGAGATCGGTCGAACAATGTAGGAGGAGACTGCTGGACGAACAAAAGTTTACGCTGGACGGACGGACGACGCCATACCATAATACTCCTGTCAAATTTGACAGACGTATAAAAAGGGCTGTTCTGATGAGTACAAAAAAATAGTGTGAAAGATATCAGGTTTTTTTAGTTGATTAAATTTATTATCTCAGTAATCAAAATATAATAAAACATTTGAAAGTATCAACACAAACTTCATTCATGTCATTAGCATGTGAAACATTAAACAAGGTATATGCAAATGATGGTATGCAAACTTATACCAAATATGGTAATTTGTTGCATGCTTCCATATTTAATACTAACTTGTCGTATAGCACCATTGCATCCCGTTGAGCCTCCATCCCATCATACTGACCACCACAAGACATGAGATGCTGCTGAAAGTTGTCTGTGGCTAAAAGAAATTGGAGAAAATGGCTTCCCCCTTCCTGTTCAAGGTACTCCATAAAGTAGAAGAGTGCCCCTTCATTGTACAACACGTCAGCTAGGTGGACTTGTGTACTGGTCAGAAGGTTGATCTGATGCATGTAGTAGTATTCGCTCACTACGAAGTCCTGGTAAAACCTTCAATGCATTTTTTGTAAAGATAAGTTAACCTGACCATTTAGTCATTAGTTGCCATGGGTTCTTCTTAAAAAAAGAGTTAGTCCCCTCATTTAAAAATGGCATTACGAAGATTCTTCATATATTTCAATAAATATTTGAATTCAACAGACCTTTAGATCCAATAAATGAATTGATAACAACATGTATGATATAATATAGTTACAAAAACATTGTCAATAACAACAATAAAAGTTGAACAATAAGTGGCTAAAAAGTACGTTTTTCAGAGATACAGAACATTATTATAAGTGCTGGGACTCACTGCATTCAAAATGTCCAAATCACAAAACTCACTCTTTCTCCATTTTCTTGAAAACAAAATCCTGACAGGATGAAAAACACTGTGGATCAACTTGGCCGTCTTCCCTGCAAATCTTGTCTGTAACAGATTCAAGACAACTTTCTGTAATTTGAATGTACAGTGTTCATTTAAATCTACCTTTGGTCAGTTGATGTTGGTGTCTTGAATATAATTCTGATTTTGAAAATATTATCTTTAATGGGGTTCCATGTCTTTTCTCCCACCCTTCACAGGTGTGTCTCCCGTTTTAGCCGGGAAAGATCAGCTTGTCACCCCCTAGGGGAAGATAGCCTCATGCCGATTAGCATGTGTTCAATTGTGACGTCATTAAACTGCGTCATCGGTAATTGTGAGGTCATCAAAAGTGAGTGACGATATTAATACCCCGCATGTGTTTTTGTTTCCAAACATGGCAGACTACTGTCGGAGGAGCTGTGACTGAAATAATAGGATGGGAGAAAAACAATCATCCCCTACCTTGAGGGTGTAACAGAGAAATCTCCAACCCCCGGGGTGATTTTTTTGGCAGAGCCTCGGGTTACACAACCAAAAAACATCACCCCATCGGGTTGGAGATTTCTGTCACACCCTCAAGGTAGGGGGAGATTCTATTAATCATCTTGTAAGTGTTTAAGATACCTCATATTTCTATACATAAACTTTGTTAACTCATTCATCCCTGAAGACACATTTGAACTCCTCCAATTCAAAGGTTGGAATAATTCATTATGAAATTTCAGGGGTAAATGAGTTAAAGTGTCTGAACTTTCATCAAAAGCATTTTTTTGGCAAAAGTTCCAAATAAAAGTTTGTGTAGGTGCCTTTAATTAGTGAGTCAGTTGGGAAACTAAAATCAAACAAATTTTTGATGATGGTCTCACAAGCAGACTAAGGTAATTGTGCAGAGGACAGGGTGTACATGACGGTTGGTGAAGAAGAGAAGGACATATCTCTGTTTAGAGAGTAGCAAAATACCCAATTTCAGTAGCAGGCATATGACTCTTTACCATCTCTACAGAAACTCTCATGCAGAATTTGGCATCTGTAGATGACAGTGAATTTGAGGTATGCCCTAGGAAATGTGATGCACAGACTGTGCAAAAACATTGTCCCTTCTAGTAGTACCATTAGCAAGATACATGTGTACAAATAATTTTATTGAATGCTTCGCCATAAACTTACGTATGGTTTCATTGCGTAGCCTGTCTGGAGCACCAATAGGATCTGTGGCATCATGGGACAAATATTTTTGAAAAATCTTAACTGCATCTCTCTCAATACCTTTGTAAGAAAAAGATACAGAAATGCTTAACATTTTAACGGTTTACAGTTTGTACTTTATTGCAATACTGTCTCTGAAGATTGTTTCCTTAATTTCATTTCATAACAGCTTGCTTATATGATACATATCATAATTTTTGATAAAAATTACAAACATGAATAATTTTGAAGACTTCAAAGTTAGTGCAATAGAATTAATGTGATGTAAATATAACATCATTTAAGATATATATATAGAGACAAGAAAATGTTAAAATAATACGTACTCCTTTTTAATTTTTCTGCAATATCTTCTACAGATACGCCTCGTTTCATCTTTCTTTCACCGTCTTCTTGTGAACTTGACCTAGATATCACAGTAGAGCTATCCTGTTTGTCCATTTCCTCTGCCTCACACGGGGGTTCTGTCTGCCCCTTCCCCGGGGAATATGTTTCCCCCCTTTCCGCCCCCTCGCTATCACCTATCACAGCACCAAGCCTGGGTAAATTGTCGTGTCCAGTTGACAGTTCGGATTGAGGCACTTGTCCATCTTTTTGCGTTAAATGGGGACTAGACACCTGTCCTTCTGTTTCTATTTGTTGGGGACAAGACAACTCACTGTCTGACCCATGTCTTTTGTGACTAGACTCTGTATTTACAGACTCCAAGCCTGATGATAAACGACGATTTCTGCATTCATCGTTCACCCCTATTTGACTAGAACATCTACTAGAGAGTTGCGACACATTATCTTGGTGGAAATTAATGTTTTCACTAGTTGTACAAATATCACTACAGACCTGTTCATCAGAAGTTATCTCCCCTGCTACAGTTGGTGACACTACCTTAATCTCGTCCACAGATTTGCCTGCGGACAAACTCTTCTTTGCAGAATTTAACGAATGAGTCCGTAGCCTACTCCATGTTGATGCCTGGAATCCAACCAGAATCGTATATGTTGGGCCGATTTTATTGCATCCATGTATTTGATTAATAAGCCTAGGGCATCTTTGTCGTTCAAGATTTCAGACAATGTATTGGATAACCGTGAGGAATTTGGCATCCTTGAATGTAAGGAGGTACCACAATCTCCTGTAGAAAGACAAAGGAATCATCAATGTTCGTCAAATTTCTTAATGAATGAGACAGAAATCAAATATTATTTAACTTTATTCTTTTGCAAAAATCTGTGTCCTGGAGGCCACACCAGAGGGTATTATACCTGCCTATCGACTACAAGGTACTATGCATATGTCCAGTTATATATCGTAGAGATGAGAGAGGAATGACAGCAATTGTGTTTACATATACCAGGCTAGACAAAAACGGTATAGCACACTAGCCTGAGACTAGCAAAATCTCCAACTGGATTACTGGTTTTAAAACTGCTAGCCTAATTGACTTATGTAGTCAAAATTTAATATTACAAATAGCATGTTGAATAAAACTGGATTAGTGGAATTTGTACATAAACTAGTAAAATTGGAAACTAATAGTATGAATGACTAGTGGTGTTTGAAATTAATTTCTAGCCATGCAGATAGCTTGAATAAAATATTTCCATTATTGCACAATTATACCTGGCAAGAATATGGATAATTGCTTGAATAAAGCTGCTTTGACAATCTACAAACGTTCCCCACTTTAGGGGGTAAAACAAAACAAACAAGAGGCCCAGAGGGCCTGTATCGCTCACCTGAATATTTTTAAAATAATTGGTATGAAGTAAAGATATAGCACTCCATGGTAGGTGCTGTAAGTACATATGAAATTTCAGAAAGTTCCATCCAGCACTTGAGATATAGCGAGAACAAACTTCAAACAGAG